GACCACACACACATATACATATATATACAAACACACACACACACATCCAATTTTGATCACCTATCACAAGCCCCGATCTTAAGATATAAAATCAAATAAATTTGTAGCAATAACATTTTTAGTAAACAAAATGATAAATGATAAACAAAACACAAAGATTCTTTTCCGTTGTACATTTTATACTATGAGTGAAGCGAATATCAAATGCAATTGGGAAACACATTGATGATCGTTATATAGATATACATATATAGCTCTAGTTACTTTTGCATGAATTCATAAACAAAAACAAATACTAAAATTAACAAATGCAAGGAAATCAATTCATAAACAGATTTGGAAGAAGTGCAGCGATAGAGAAGGAAGTGAGAGAGAGAGAGATAAGTAGAGGAATATAAGGAACATACATATGTAATATTTTTTATGTTTAAAAATTTGTTTTTTTTTTTTTAATTATTATTAATAAATGTATTTTTGAAGTGGATAAAACGATTAACAATTAAATTGATACGCGTCAATAAATAATAATAAATTATAAAGTAAAATACAAGAAACAAAAATATTAATCATATACATATGTCTATATACATTTTAAATACTATAGGCTATATATATAGTGTAGGGCACTGAAGAATATTATAAACAATTTGCATAAGCTGAAAATAAAAGAAAAAAATCCGAATCGTAATACAATACTATCTATATAGATCCATTCCTAGCTATTATTTATCTCTGTCTTTACCTCTTCAGTTGTTGCTCCATACAAATTAACATATGTCATATATATCTATATAGAGAGAGAGACAAATCGATCCATTGAATATTGGAATTTTTAATTTTTGTTTATTGAACTCAATAAAGTTGTAGCTGTATATATATAGACATCTAGAATTCCCAATAACTTAGGCAGGTTCAACAATAATCCATCAAAAACTATAGACTTTTATACACATATATATATAGATATATAATATACACATATATTCGGACCAAGCCAATCTTTGTCCAAACTGAGTCTAATCGTAATCTATAGAGTTTCAAATAACCGCGGAATGTTTTACGATTGAGTGCGCATATACATATATTTATATCAAGTTTTGTTTCTGTAACATCAGGAGCTTTAGCCTGGAATATAGATTTGCATATTGTTTCTCTTTCTGTTCATTTGTTTCTTATATACATTTGATACATACATATATCTATGTATATACATATTTGGTAGACATTTATAAAGGATCTCGAAAGCTTTTGCACCTACAAAGTATACATAGATATATAAAATATACATGAATATACTATAATATTGGATATATGTAGATCGTACCATATGTATGCAAATCATAATTTACTTAGGGGTATACTAAATAGAGATATAAATATATAGTATTTGTGTGTGAGGAATCGTTAAACGTTTCTAATCTTTATGCTTGGGCAGCGGCTGTTCCGATCTGAACGCTAGACGCTGCTCTGTTGCTTGGCCCGGCTTCATTGGATTGGAGGTGTTGCGTCCGCGCGTCAGGCCGCAGCCCACGGATAGAAGATGCGCCTCCAAGCGACTCAGTCGCTTCTTTCACGAGCTCATCAGGCTGTCGAGGAATGAATGCTTATTGATCACCTTCGTGGTGGCGATCACGAACTCCACGTTGTTGTCCTCCTGGGCGGCCAGGAAGCGCAGTGCTGCGATTTCGGCGAATGTGCAGCCGCCCACAAAGAAGACGAGCACCACGCGCCGGGCGTGCATTAGCGAGCTCTCGCTGGGCGTGGCGCCGACTGCATGACGGCCACCGATGCCAATCAATTGCACCTGAAAGTCCTCGAAGGTCGGCCCGGGCAGGTTGTTGATCTGGCTCTTGAGCGTCTGCCAGCCGAGCGGCTTGAGCGAGTGCTCGACCAGGCGAGCCGTCAACGGTGCATAGAAACTATGCACATAGCTAATGTCCTTCGGATTGATCTCAACGCTGTCATCGACGGTCAGATGTAGGGTCTGTCAGGAGAAGTTAAGTACAGTTAATCGACTGGTTGTAGCTTTTATTACTCTTTATTCCAGCTCCTTGCTCCATCCAGCCATCCCTACTTCTTTCTTCTCATTTCGACTTTTTAATCCTTACCTCTACTCTTTAGTTCTACTTCTACATCTTACTACTGCTCCTTAGTCCTTACTCCCGCTCCTTAGTCCATCTCACACTCCTTACATCAACTGCTCATTCTTAGTTCTTACTCCCATTCCTTACATCAAACACTTCCTCTTACTTTTACTCCTTAGCACAACTTCTACTCCTTACTCTAAATACTTCTTAGTTTTAGTGCTTGTCCTTTTCTTTACTATAATCCATTGCTACTTCTATTGCATCTTTTCCTAGTCTGTAAACCTTAATCTTTCCGCCTCAGTACTACATAAAACTTCTACTGTAAGCTACTTCTTTATCTTAGCTGCTTCCTAATCCCACGCCTATTCCATTCTTACCTTGCGCAATACGGCATACGCCCGCGACTCAGTTTGTGTACGCAGCAGTCCAGCTTTCTCGAGGTGGCTAATGGTGAGCAACACCTCCAGGCCGTAGACCTGGGCCAGCTCGCGCTTGTAGGAGTTGAGGACGCGCTCCTTGAAGCCGGAGGCGGCGGCACACTGCAGGCAGATGAGTCGCAGCACGTTGCGCAGCTCGGCACGGCGTGCTATCTGATCCTCAATGTAAGCGCTCGACTTGTCGATGTCCGCACAGATCATGAACTCCTGCTCGGCGGCCAGATCATCGCTGAACGAATAGACATTGATGCGTTCGTCAATGAGTCCGGCGATGGCCGTATGCACCGATGTTTCCTTCTTTTCCTCCATCAGTTGGGGCAGACGTTCGACGAAACTTTTGATCTCCTGCACCGTTTGCTCTTGCCGATTGACATTCATCTGTGCCTGGATGTCCTTGACCTTGCGGGCGAGCAGAATGCGCACTTCATTGAAGTTCTTGTTGCGCAGCTCCGCGTACAGCGGTTTGCCGGAATGAAGGAAAATCGTCTTCCGATCTTTATCGCCCACCAAGCGTTCCGGATCCTCAGATCCGGCCGTGGAGCTGCCGCTAATAATATATGCCGGAAAATGCTCGGCCGGCAGCGTCAGCTTATTGTGGTGTATGCCATAAAACTCATCGATGAGACCCTCGTAGGTTAGTTGGGTGGCCAGCGGACTGAGTAGGTCGATGCCCCGATCGAGCAGGATGAGCTGATCAATGGCACCCTTGTCGCCATTGTACAGTGACTTCTCGTCAATGGCCAGCTGCTTGGCATGATCCCAAACGAATTGAGCCATGACACCCTTGCCGTAGATCTTGGGTATGCGTCCGTATAGCCGCTGCAGCTGCACCAGGCCAATCGACGCTTGAAAGAGAGCGGTGGTGTCGCCATCGATGCTAACATCGCGATAGGCATTGGGCATCTCCATGCTGACTACATCCGAGTCCAGCGGAAAAAAGTTCCAGGTCAGCTCGTAGATATGAGTGAATGCATTGATCACATCCAGATTCTCCAGATGCTTAATGCACAAGCACGAGCGACGCGGCACAAAGAAGATATAATACTGTCGACCCTGCTGATTGTTGTCCTTTAGGTGCGTGGCCAGCTGATCCATGAGCTTAACCTGCGTGTGCACAATATAGATGATGTTCTGGACGTCCTTGGGAGTGCGTGATTCAGGTTTCAAAGCGATCAGCTTAATTCCACGATCGGTGAACATTTCCGGCTTGGTCACAAGCTCCAAATGTCCAACCATTGACTCGTCCAGCACAATAATCTTGCTGCCTTCGATGGAATCAAGGTTCTGCATTAGCTCCCGCGCAGCCGTCTCCTGCAGCAGCTGCAAATTGACGCGTTGACTCCTTAGATAAGGAAACATGGCTGATGGCAAAACAGGAACCGCACTACTGATGACAATATTTGTTCTTAGCTTTTTCTCGCTAGCGAGGCGCTATTTTCGTATTGTGTCTTTGCAGTCTCTGCACTCAGCAAGTGTTTTTACTGCCTAATATTTCTGTGGTTGCAACGCCCACATACTGCACGGCAGCCGAGCAAATTAGCAAATCAGCTGTTTTGGGCCTGCGCAGAAAACAGTGTGTACACACCAATAAGAATAGGCAATATGCGCTCAATTTGATTTATAATTATAAATTAATTCTGTTATGTGTGTAAAATAAAACTGCTTAAATGTATTTAAACGCATAAAGCATCTATTAAAATTTTATAACCACTCTTATTTTGGTATATGACAACACCAAGCGCGAGCAAATATTGTCGAATTTTAAATGAACTATTCAAATTCGATAACAACGTGACTATCGATTTCTTGCTAGCTACTTTTGCCATTCTCAGTCTGTCAAATTGTTGCTCATCTCTAGGAAATATACAACTACAATTGAACTAGCAATATTTAAGAGTGTAATAGAATTTCATTTCGTTTCATCCTACTCTGACTTTTTGTCAGAGCAAACAGCGCGAAACGTATAATATTACAAACGGCTAAAATACACATATTTATTTCTCTACAAATGGTATCGAAGGGTAATAACTACCAACAGAACCGGGCCATGCAGCAGCAACAGCGCTCAAATGTTCGTGCCGCAATCGCACCGTACCGCAAGCCTTACCGCGGCCAGGCTCAGGCTCAAGCTCAGGCTCAGACTCAGGTTCAGGCCCAGGCACCGAATCAATTCATGTACACATCCTGCCAGATGCCCAGTGATCCGCTCTATATAGACTTCAATAGTCCCACGCCCGCACCACCGCCCAAATTGGCGACGGCCGCACAGACACTGCAAGCCGGCAATTCGACCGACGGAGCTGCGGACGGGGGGAAAAAGAAGCAATTGAAAGCTAAACAGCCCAAGGGCCATAAACAATCGCAACAGCAGCATCCGCATCCGCATAATTCGCACTTTGCTGGGCAGGGCGGCGGCGGCCCCGCAGCTATGGCCGACAATGGCTGGCAATCGCATCCACATCCGCATCCAAAGCAACGGTTCCATGCACCCAATGGCAATCGCTTCAATGGACCACAGCGCAATGGCTTCAATAGGCCCCAAATGATGGGTGGCGGACCCATAAATCGGGGAGGCGGTCGCCACATGATGGGCGGACCAGGACCAGGTGGTCCGATGGGCCCACGGGGTGGCCCAATGCCGCCATATCCCCCTATGCCTTTTCCAGCCGCCATGCCGCCGATGCGCTGCCCCATGCCGCCAATGGGCGGTCCACCGCCACCGCCGCCTCCCTTCATGCGTCGCAACGGACGCGGCCCACCACTGCCAATGCCACTGCCACCGCCACCGCCGCCTTTGATGGGCCCGCATATGCATATGGGGCCACGAATGCCGCTGCGTGGCATGCCACCGCTGCCTGGCCCGGTGCCCTACATGAACGGCGGCAGCATGAACGGCGGCAAGATCAAGAAGCCGAATCCCAAGCTGATCAAGCAGGCGCTCAAGGGCAAGAGCACAATCAAAACGCTAAAGAATCTAGTGAATCAATATCCCATCGACAAGCCGTGGGTGAACGACGAAATACGCGCCATCCACGACGAGAAGCTGGACATTGAGAATCGCCTCAAGGGCAACAAAGATGACCAGCTCTTCGCCCAGTTCAAGGTGCAGCGCGACAAATTTGTGTCGCTCTACGAGAAGGCGCGCGAAGCGTATTTAAAACAGGAGGCCGCTTCGGTAATGGCCAAGGTATGTGCCCCTCTCGCTCACTCACTCTGCTCTCGCTCTCACTCTATGTATACATTTGCGATTTCATATAATTTCCACTCCAATATCCTCCCCATCCAAACAGAATTGAATTTCCTACATGTCGATTACAGACCTGTGTATATATAAGATTTCCCACTCAACCAGCCATAAGCAGAAGAAATACTCTTTCTCACTCACTCCAGTTCATCTCCTCTCACTCACATGCTCTCTCTCTCTCTCGTTTATTACTATATTGTATGTTCTTTTGCAGGATGCCAAAGAGAAAGACAAAGATATAGATAAAGACAGAAATGCAAATTCAAATCAGCTCGAATTAGCGCAAGATGCAAATAAAAATAAAACAACAACAGCAACTACAACAGCAACAACAACAGCAACAACAACAAGTCCAAGCAAAAGCCAAAACCAAAATCAAAATCAACAGCAAAATCAAAACGAATCGAATGAACCAGAGTCAGGCAATTAATTATATATCCACATAATAATATATAATTAAGCAACAATTTTTCAATTAATTAATTTATTATCATAAATTATTAATTGTGCTCATTTGCCTGACTCAAATGGAACATAAAACAAAAACAAATCAAACAAAAAGCTAAGCCGTGAAAATACAAACAACAATCAATTGCAACAACAACAACAAAGCAACAAAAAAAAAAACAAATAATAATAATAATATTTATACAACAATTATTAATAATATTTATAATTAAATTGCAATAAATTAAATTCAAAGAACTGAGCTTAAATTCAAGAAATAAGTAAATAACAAAAAAAAAACAAAGCCAACAATTTACAAAAAATAATAAGGAAAAGATAAACATTATCCATTCAATTGTTAAAGAGGAATAAACAAAAGAGAAATGAGATGAAACGAAACGAAAGAGAATTGCGTAAAAATGTATTTTTATGGCTTTAAAACAAATGTTAATTGTAATATAACGTAACGTAACGTAATGTATGTAATCGGCATGCCACGTAACGTAACGTAACGAATTGTAATTGTTAATTGTTAAGTTGATAAACCATAC